CATGTTCAATCATTTGAAAGTGCCCTCTACTTATATAAACCTTAATTACATAATTCTTCATTTGTAGTATGAAATTATAAGTAAAAATATTAGAGCATTCAGTTTCATACAAAAAAATCCCTGTAAAAACATCTGAATGCATCAGTACACATAAACATCCAGCCTTTAACTAGAAGTAATTAACTTCATATCAGAACCAGCAGGTGGAGGAAAACAAAGCATGTGTAGTGTGAAAACAAAGAGGCCACAGACTCTTGCTCCTCCTAAAGGTAGGTATTAAAATGTCTTAAAGCGATTCTGGGTCTGGTTTGTGTAAAAACAAAAAAAGGAGGCAGGGAGGAAGGGAAGGGGAGTGAGTGGAGACGAGAGATGAGGTGAAAGAGGGCGGTGAAGAGTGCAGGCCTTACACAGCCTCTCTTCAGAATACTGAAGGGGATGGTTTTCTTTACTATATGAGTCTCCCACACCCTCCTGCCCCAGTCCTCCACAAACACAGAGGCCTCTCGCCTGCACCCATCCGGACCCTGCAGCGACAGCAACAAGCCCCCGACAGAGGAGCAGCTCGTCACATCAGAAACACAGACACTGTTCAGAGAAGAGCGAGAAGAAACTGGAGAGCAGGCCGGGTGCACATCTCTGCGCCGGTCTCATTAGACACTGTCAGCTCACAAGTACAAGTTCAGTGCATGTGTAATTAGAAACGGGTGCCTGATCACCAGAGAGCAGCACAACAAACAGCCCAGCACTCCTTACTGGTTTGTTTGTTCATTAAGATTCCCATAAGCTACAGCATAGCCTCAACTATTCTTCCTAGGGTCTTCAATACATACAATCATTGCAATACAAAAATACACATTCTCACTCCCATCACATTAAACCGACAGGACTGTAACATTTAATGTAATCATCCACAGAAATACAAAAGACACTCTGAATTAATCATGATTTAACATAGTAATCTCCTCTCAGTTTAACATGATGCACCCATACACACTTTTATGTGGAACAATTCCAAAGTTTCTTCTCAAACAGTACTCGTTTAATGATTTTTTAAACCATTAACATTATTTTGTTGAGTAACATCAAATGGAAGTAAATTCCACTCATACATTGCTCGATATCTTACTGTATGTTGAACTGCTGTAGTTTTAGATTGCAGTGAAATAAAACCACCTCCAACAGCATGTCTTGTTATATAACTACTGTATGTGTATCAGTGCAAACAACTTATTATAAACCATGTTTGAATTCTTTGTTCTTATGACGCTCCTGATGAAAATGGCAACTGTTCCTAATAAAATGACAACTGGGTGTATTTCAGTGCAAGGCACTTAGTGGTATTTAGATTTCACCAGTGACTATTCAGCTGCTGATACTAGTCAAAACAATAATGTGTGTCCACACCTGTGCAGGTAGCATCCGGCTATGCCGCCACATCAACACCTGGGAGGACACAACCTGCTGCTGCTGGACATCAGGTCCAACAATAGTGTTATTACAGGTTATTAACGTGACTAACGTGACAACAACACTGGACTAATTGGAAGTTTTCACTGGGGGAAGCTGTGCAGACCTGAACTGTACGGACTACCCACACTGATTTTTACACAGCCAGTTAAACAGAAGCCCCCCAGTTTCGTTGTACATGTGGCTGCTCCGCGTTCCCCCACTAATTCAATACAGTTTGCAATACAATATATCAGAGTGCATCAGGGACAGAATGATACAGTCATCTGCACACAGGTGTAGCAGCCATAATAATTATCAATATGCTAAACTAAATGGCTTTTACTGTGTGAACAACCTGAACAAACTGTGTATTAGTTTATAGTTGACCTTGAAGACCTGGTTGGTCCATTACTTATCTACAGTTTTTTAAAAGAATAAGACATTATTATTATATAGGCCCGGTTCTGAACTCAGAGCAGCTTTGGCAGAACCCTCATGGCTGTAAAAAAGTCTGCAGTACCTAACCAGGACTCACCAGTATCTGCACAGTGAGCAGTCCTTCTCCAGCGTCTCGGGCATCGATGGTGAACTCAACCGGTAGACTGGCCAGAACCCCAGACGCATTCAGACCCGGACCGCTGGCTCGGACCTTACTGGCATCATGTGCAGGTAATGTCTTGATCTTGAAAGGACTGAAAGGAGACAGGGCGACAGGTGAGACCTCAACCAGTCAGATGGGGACTTTTTACGGTCTAGTCTTCATGGTGCTGACCTGCGGGGGACCTCCTGGTCGGCGTACTTCACACACACGGTGTACGGACCGTCACTGGCTGGAGTATAGCTGACTGTGTGTGTACTGTCGCCATTGTCAGTAACACTGATTGGCTCGGCCACACCTGGAGAACAGCCAGAAGGTTTGACATCAGTGCTGCCTCTAGGGAAGGTTTTGGACTGAGGTTGTGTTATTCTTTACAAACACTTCCCTGTTCTGAGTGCAAAGTGATCACCTGATCAAACCTGATCACACCTGAAAGTCAAACTGCAGAAATCATCTGCACACTCCTGCTGGAAGCTGGGTGAACCTTTGTAAACCTTTAAAAACTAAATAGTGTTTTTTACCTGTTGCCAAGCAGTGAGTTGTGCACTCGGAGACACTCCCACACATCTACTGTCTGCCAAATATATACATTTAGACCGACCATTTCCTCAGTGTGCCAGCAGCTGCTGAGGTGTAGCAGACATAACCTATGACTCACACCTGCACCTGCACCTGCACCTGTGAAGGCACAAGCTGCTGCTGGTGAAGAGGAACAAACAGACAGATTCATGTTGACAGGTTTTTATGTCAGGGCTCTGAATTATCTTCAGCTGCTAACTGATGAGCTCAGTCATTATACAGGTGCAAATAATACACATGTGCCTGTATGCACTAAAGAACATTACAAGTATGACCGTGCAAATTCTCAGTTGTCCATGTCGTAGTATGCTGAAAAAAATGGAGAAGAAATCATCTGGACGTAGTTTTAGGTAGAAGATGTTTCACCTCTTAGTCCTTAGGTGATGGCCGCCGAAGGACTAAAACCTCACCCAGGGGGATAAATACCCCCTGCTCACCAGCAGTCGGACAGAACTGATGAAGCCTCTTGGATGAGAGGTGAAACATCTTCTACCTAAAACTACGCCCAGGTGATTTGTTCTACATTTTTTCAGGGAACATTACAGGTACTCCTCACTGTGTACTTAAAAAAAAACAGTTTTTCAAAGAAGGTGCAAACCATGAGTTTAGGAAAGGACAAACTAATGGACTGCAATTTATATCTGTGGGTTTCTAGTGGATTTTCATCACTGTTTAAGGGTTTACGCCTTAACCCTATAATTTGTATCATATTTGATACATGAGGTTTCTGAGCAAAAAAAAATTGCCAAAAATGCCCCATGTATCAAATGTGATACGCAAGAAATAGAAATAATCTAAATAATATAGCACCTCTATTTCTATATGCCTGGACTGTCTGTCTATGCATATATGGCAAATAAAAATTGTAGTGGTTAAAAATAAACAAGGTTCCAGAGGTAATATGTAATAAAACGGTATGTACTTCATTCATTCATTTTCTACCGCTTAGTCCCTGAACGGGGTCGCGGGGGTATGTACTTCATATATAGAAATTATTTGTAATAATTATGTAAGCCTGAGCTATGTGTTTACGGAAGCTTGATCTGTTTTTTGCTCAAGCAAGAATATCTTGGGCTGTGTCCCCCTTGTTTAACTTATGGGTCAACATCCCGAGTGACTTCCTCCTTAGATGGGGAATGGATATAGCTGCAGCCTTATGTGAACTGTTCGTGTGCTCTGTTTAGGTTTAGAAAAAGGAAATGTGCGCTAGGTCAATGCGACCTAGAAGTTCATGTACTGGACATTTTAGACAATGCTCTGGCATTTGGCATTTTAGACAATGCTCGGAAGAAGGTGTGTGTGAAGCTGGCATGGCTCAGCCATGGAAGGCTGTGTAACTGCGAGCAGATAAAAGGCTAGGATAGCTGGGTTAGAGGCGGAAAAAGAGTGAATGCTACTGGGACAGTAAACTGTGTGCTTTTTGGGGACCCGGCCGGGGGGAACGATGACTGACTGTGGCGTGACAGAGAGACTGACGGTACACCTCATGACAACAACTGACTAGACTGACTGGCGCTTTGACAGTCTTCTTATTTAATACTTTATCTATCTCACGGCAGGAGGAGGGACTCTGGTCTCTGTTCACTACCAGATTATTTAACTACTACTCTATTCAGAATAATTGTAATATTAAATGATCATTTAAATTGGGATGATTTGTCTGAATTAATTTAGTCGGCATCACACTCTAGCCACAACAAAATCATGAATCTTGAATTTTGAATCATGAATTATATTTTGGATTTTGTTAAAAGGTTTAATAAACATCTCAGTTCTGAAAAATTTGAATGTTCTGGCTATTTTTTGATGTGTCGGGCTTTACAGGGTTAAAATTGACCACATAGCATGGACAGCATTACAAGCAATAAAAACCCAAACAAAATCAATTAATTTAAGACCAAATAAAGTGAGATTATAAACTCGGTCAAATCTAATAAAATACCTTAAAATAAAATAAATGAAATGAATGTCACAAACCTAAAATACAGACAGTGGTTTAAGATTTTCTACAGAAATTCTATGAATTAATTTCTGCTTCAGTCGCACTGCTGAAGACCTTCAGCGTAATCCCCTGCTGGTGTCAAGTGGCAAATCATGTCCTACCTGTGGGCCCGTAGAGCTGCACCTCCAGGGGAGCCACCCCAGCCTTAGTGCTGTCCACAGTGAAGGTCTGAGGGACATGAGCCCGGACTCCACTTCCCAGGCCGGGGCCTGAACACCTCACCTTACTGGGGTCCACCAGCTCTTGCACTGGGACATGAAATGGGCTCCCTGCAACACAGTCAGGAAATCTAAAAATGTGGAAAAAACCACAGGTCAAAACAGGTCAGAAAACCGGGCTGTAATCAGGCGGCCTGTTACCTGGGACAGGGAGGCCTCCGAAGGTGATGTTGACGTCGTACACTCCAGGAGTGAAGGGGATGTACTCCACGCTGCAGCTGCCATCTTTGTTATCCTTACATGACATCTTGGCCTCAGAGGGACCCTCAATGGCCAGGCCCAGACCCCCAGTGCCAGCACCCCTGGAGAGACATCAAGACAAATGGGAAATGAAAGGCAGGTACAGACAAGTTGGATCTGAGGCAAAACTGTGCAAAGCATTCAGGTTTGTGTATGTGCAGCCAAATGGATTAGAAGAACTAACCTGGTCTCCACGGTGAAGGGGTTCGGTTTGTTGACCAGTCCTTCCTCCAGACCCGGACCGTACGCTCGGACTCGAGTGGGATCGCAACCCTCAGTCACAGACACCCTGAACGGACTCTTTGGTACCGAGACCTCGTCAAACAACACTTCGATCAGATGGAAGCCTGCACCAAGGCCAAAAGAGAGAGAAGTGAAATACAACCAAAACTACATGTCCACAGGTTTCTCAAGGAAACAGGGCAGGTGTCACAGATTCATGACAGTGAGGTCTCTGTTTTTTAGGTTTAGGTTTACTGACTACCTGTCAAGAGTTTGTTAAGGGCTGAAGGACAAGGTTTTAGACCGGTCTCCCTAGTTACCTCTGGTGGTTTCACAGACCATCAACCAGACATAAGAAGGAGGCTCAAGTGAGCTGGCCTGGATACTCCGGTCTTAACAGCCTTCTACCGGTGTGTGGTGGAGAGCATCACGACATCACAGTGTGGTACGAGGGCTGCTCTGCCGCTGACAGAAAGGTGCTGCAGAGGGTCATTAGATCAGCCCAAAAAACCATTATATACTGCAGCCTGCCTTCCATTGAGGACATCTACATCAGCAGGTGCAGGGCCAGAGCCTCTTCTATCATGGATGACCCCACACACCCAGCACATGGACAGTTTGAATTGCCTCCCTCAGACAGGGGCTGCACAGCATCAAGGCCAGGACCACCAGGCTTAAATCCCATGCTGGCCCATTGCTGACAAATTTCAGTCAGGTTTTAAGGCTCGACATAGTACAGAGTCTGCTCTGCTGAGGGTCCATAATGATATTGCCATGGCTCTTGATGCCAAGCGCCCCATTATTTTAGCTTTACTTGATTTGTCAGCAGCATTTGATACTGTTGACCATGCAGTTTTATTATCTACACTGGAACACCTTGTCGGGCTGAAGGGCACAGTTTTAAATTGGTTTAGTTCTTTCTTGAGAGATAGAACCTTTTCTGTCGTTATTGATGAGTTTTCTTCTGATACAGTCCAGCTTACCTCAGGCATCCCACAAGGGTCGACCTTGGCACCGCTACTTTTTTCCTTATATATCTCACCATTGGCGTCAATTATATCCAGGCATAATGTTCATTTTCATTTTTACGCGGATGACATTCAAATTTATATGCAATTGGTACTATCCGACCCAAAAGTATTTACTCCATTGTATGACTGTATTCAGAATGTCAAAAATTGGCTTGCTAGGAATTTTCTCCACTTAAATGAGAATAAGACGGAATTTATCCTTATCAGCCCCGATCCAGCTGCAGGTGTATCCAGCTTACATGCCCCTGCTCCTGCCCCTGCACTCACAGACATGGTAAAAAACCTGGGAGTGATATTTGATACCGGTTTTAATTTTGATAAGCAGATCAGAGCCGTTGTTAAGACCAGTTTCTTTCACCTCAGACTTTTAACGAAGGTTAAGCCTTTTTTTTATCCCAGGGAAACTTAGAAAAGGCAATCCATGCTTTTGGCACTTCGCATCTACAGTAGATTATTGCAATGCGCTTTACGTTGGTATATCTCAGTCACTGCTGAGGAAACTCCAGCTGGTCCAAATGCGGCAGCTCAGCTTCCGTCCAACACTCCCAGGTTTGCCCACATTACCTTGGTTCTTTACACATTACACTGGCTGCCTATACATTTTAGAATTGAGTTCAAGATTCTTTTATTTGTGTTCAAAGCCTTATACGGCCTTGCCCCACTTTACCTTTTTAAACAAGCGTTCGATCTTTAATTTGCTTTATCTGTCGTTGAATGGCATCGAGCACATGTTTTATATTTTATGATTATCTGGTTATTGTTTAGTAGCATTTTGTCTGTTTTAGCGTATAGTTATCCTTATTCTGTGCAGCACTTTGGGCTCTGTGAGTTGTAAAGTGCTATATAAATGATGCTTATTATTATTATTATTATTATTATAAATCCAGCTTCCTACCAGAAGCTGTGAGAATTATGAATCCTAGGCCTCTTTGATGGACTGATGCATTTTAAATATTGTGGCGACCCAGTGAAGGGGGTTAGGTTGTTAGGTATTGCAGGCTCTTACATTGTTCATGTCGCTTTAAGAGACTGTTGAATTATGGGGGTTCTCATGTAAAAAAAAAAAAGGGGTAAGAGCCGGGGCAGAAAAACAAGTGTGTGACTGTTACCTGATTGTGTGAGTTGCTCTACATTGTTGGGTGTCCCCTATGTAATAATATTGATAACAGTAAGGTCTAGACCTTACTTTGTAAAGTCTCCTGAGATGACTTTTGTTGTGATTTGGCGCTATACAAATAAAATTTGATTTGATTTGATTTGATGTCAGGTCGTGAGACCTACGAGCCCCTCTTACCCTCGGCTGGGAGTGTAACTGTTGGATTCACCCCCCCGAGCAGAGCCCTGAGATCATGATGGGAGTGCTGCCGAGAGTACCTGCTTGGCCCAGCCTGCCACTGCCCTACCGCGACCTCACTGTAGAGATGGACGCTGCTTTCGATGTGGGGAGCCTGGGCACCTGGCTAGAGACTGCCCTGCCCCAACTCCAAGAGCCAGGGGGCTGCCACCATTGGGAAATGACAGCGGGATGGGACATTGAGGGGTCACTGAGGAAAAGACTGTTATGCCTAGGAAAAAGAGACTGCGCATTGCAGTAGGACCGAAGAGTGTGGTCCATGAGTTTTGGCTGGCTCCCATCAGGGATGATTGCATTATTGGGTTGGACTTGTTGACTCGCTGGGATGCTTGTGTAGATGTGTAGATGTTGCCTTGGCGCAGAACCTGTGACCCTCCAATTCGGTCGGGAGGGAGGGGACCAAACCCGTGAAAGCCGGATGAGGCACTGCGACACAACACTAAGGTCACCGCCACTGGTAACTCCCGACCCGACCTCA